AACAGAAAGACACGATTCGGAAAGACAACCCCTGAAAATGAAGTATATTCATAACGATGCGTAGTTTTTTTTTTAGGTACGTACACGTGTTGTACGGCGCGGTATGCTGTTTCTTAATTTTTCTCGAAGTAATGACAGAAGTCGAGTGAAAAAAATAGAAAAACAGGGTGCCTACTGAGATGAACCTTCTGTACGTGAAAAAATATTTGTATCAGCTCGTGTTATCACAGTCAAACAACTGAATTACAATTTTATACAATTTATAGTCTCGTTTATCGTGAACAAACAATAAGTAGAAATAGTCACTGATGGCTTTAGTTTGCAACTTCCTCTTGCATCGTCCTCGCCACTTTCCTAATACGCTTATGTGCCGACTTCCGTTTCTCTGAAAGCATGAAACGTATGAAAAGTTCGAGCCTTGGCGATTGAAATCCCCGTAAATAGAGATTCAATTATCGCCAAACCTAAAAAAACAATGATTTTACTATTTTATATATATATATACACACACAGGGTGATTCACCTAAGTTGACGACCCGAAATTGCTCGTAAACTATTTATTACTGTACGAAGCAAAAGTTGCACGATTTTAAGGGGGGCACATGCTACAATAATTCTTTTTATGCACAAAGTTTTGAAAGTCACCGTGATTTGTTTAAACGGAGTACCTTATATTTCTTTCCGGAAATTAAGAGAGCATTAGAAGCTGAGCAAATAAATATTAAGATGTAATATGTCTAAAATGAATATTTACGGTAGAAGTTCCATTCGATTGAAATCGAATTTACACAAAAGTTTTTAACGCTACCTTAACTTCCGGAAATACATATAGGGTGTTCCATTTGAAAAGTTCCATGTAGAAAAAAAAAAACAATTATTGCAACATATGTCCCCCTTGAAATCGTGCAACTTTTGCTTCATGCACTATTTCATACAGCGAATAGTTTACGAGTAATTTCAGGTCGTCTAGTTAGGTGAATCACCCTGCGTATATGTCTATTATTTTATCATCGCGTAAATTATCACCGATTGCGATTACAAAGATCGCAATATATTAGTGCGAATATTTCCACAATAACTTTGCATAGATTTCATCCTGCTATCAATAGACACCCTGGAGAAATAATAAAATGATAGAAGAAGAAAATGATGGAATAATAATCGGAGAAATGGAGAGAGAAAGAAAGAGAAAGAGAGAGAGAGAGATTTTCTGAAGAATTAAGTAAAGCTTTGTCCGATCGTAGAGTTTGATATTTATAATTCAACGCAGTTCCAATGATGTCTGAATGCCCAACGTGTCTTTCTTATATTATACATGTCTTAGGACGAACAGAATTATTGAAGCAACGATGTATACTCCACGATCGGAATATCGGTAATTTGGTACAGGTTAAAGTAAAGAAAACGGCGTGAGTCGAGTGTAGAGAGAGCTGATGACGTTTTTCCTGAGCACCCTCTGTACTTACCACTCACTCATGGGTCGCCAACACGTTCCTTGCAAAGGAAGAGGGTTTTTCTCAGATCGAATCGATTACTTCTGCTTCGCAATCATCAAATTACAATCATTGAAATAATTTATCACAATTTCAATAACAAAACATTATTATATCCAATAATTTGGTCACTAGAACAAAGTACAATTTTAGTCTGGACCAAACTAAAAGAATAGAAGCAAATATTGTACGTCCTAATAATGGTTGACTCTTCATAATTTAACTTCCCCTGAAAATGCAAATACCACACTTAATTCTTTCATTTCTTAACTATGTCTATATCAGTGGTATTTCATTAGAATTTATATAGTATTTTATTACTCCTTGCTGTGCCTCACTTTATTAAATTCCTATTTTTCTTTCTTGCAAATGCACACTTTATAAACAATGCTTAAAAATTCTTTAATTTTATTTTAATTAAAGTAAAAATTCGTGTAAGACCATAGAAAACCGATTAAAACTACTTTCTATGGTTGAGAAGTATTATGCTATTTCTACATATATTAACAAGTTAAAAACTGAGGTGTAAATAGAAAAGAAAAAAATGGATCGATTACCATTAATTCCAGAAATAGGTAATTGAAACTAAATATTTTTGTGAAAGATACAAAGAAAGAAGAATCCGTAAAACGTTTTTCAATATAAGTACAGATTACTTAAAGAGTACCGCAACACAAGTAGTGAAAACCACACTGAACTAAAAAAAGAAAAGAAAGAAATGTCTATTACATAACAATGAAACACTTTGATATCTACAACACTCTTACAGATAATAAATAAAAGTATTTCATTAAGTAAGACGAAAAACCTAACCAACAGAGGAAAAGAAATGAACAATTCTATTTAAAAAAAAAAAGTGAAAACACATACATAAGTCTATCTATTTATAAGTTAATATACAGGTACAAATATAATTGCAGAATATTAAACTTTGTTATTTGTTATAATATTTGCTTCTATTACTTTTTCTCTTCTCTTCTCAATCGTATTTAAATATATGAAATAAAACACCTAACGTTAGAACCTCAAACATTTTCGTTATTTCTATTCACGTAAAATATAAATCTTATGTCCATATAAAAAATGTATAAAAAGAAAAATTGTTTAATTGGAAAGGATACATATTATGATAATAAAATTTTATTTTTCAGATGATTTCTTAAGACTTTAAACGTATTGATAATTTCTTTATTATAGTGATATTTTCATTAACACAATATTGTAACTGAAGCAAATACAAATTCAAACACTATGTGACATATCAGATACAAATGGTCTGATGTGCTACTGATACAAAATCCTAATTTAGTATACCGAGAACAATAGCTGTAATAGTATAATAAACGAATAAATATCGAAACATTATTATTTGTTAACGTTTGTTCATTGATCTCTTATAACGTTTGACATATAAACCATTTTATTTCAACCATCTAGAAACAGCAGATATAAAATTGTATTCTACGTTCATTAATTCACTAGAGTAAAATATATTACCATTTCAATACATAGATATTTTGTTTCTGTGAAAACAGAACCTTCAAAGGTTATTCAAAAGTACACATATCACATATGGCTCAATTTGTTCTTCAGTTATGACGCTGTGATAGTAAAATTATATTCTCAGAATCCACAAAACAGATCTTATAAACTTTTATTACCATAATATTTCTTGCTTTAAATCAAACAGTCCTTTATTTAAATATTTTTATATATTAGAAACAATAAAAATGTTTTAGGTCCTAGTATTAAAGGATTCATTCTGTATACCAAATATTTCATTTCATTTAACATTCCAAATATTTCCACGATTATTAACAATATAAAAATACATTTTAGAAATAAGTTGTTTGGTTGAAATGGACAAGTATTATAACTATAACAATCTTTGTTTGAAGTAAATTTTTCCAGATTTTAAAGAAATAATTCTTATTAAGTTCGATACATTTGCTAATACAATGTATAAATGAATACAGATTATTATTCCATTACGGTGGAAAT